AAAATTATAATGTATATAATACATATAATAATTTAAATGTAAATAAATAGAAATTTTAATAAATAATTATTTTATTTTATTTTTTATAACGATATATGTTTAAATACATTAAATACTAATAAATAGAAGAATAATATATATATTTAAAAAAAAAAATTTTATATAATAATTATTTAAAAAGTTTAAATAATTTATATTCTTTCATTATCAATTTCTTTATATATATATTGTCATTCTATTTTATATTTTTTTATTATATAATTCTACAATTTTAGGTAAAATTGGAAATGATAAATATCAAAAGGGAAAAAGTGATAGTTTAAGAGATAACGAAAATGTGAAATACAATATTTTCAGTGAATTAAATATAAAAAATGTAAAAGTAAAAAAAGAAAAAAAATTGAGAATAGATCAAGATGCTGAAAAATATCCTATTACTCATATTGTCGACAATAAAATATTACTTTTAAAAAGCAGTTATATGAATGATGATAATAAAAATTTAACTAAGAATTCTTTAAAAAAAGAATATAAAAACAATAATAATAATGAAAATAGTAGTAGGAAAAATAATATAAAGGATAGTAGTATTATTATTAATAATAACAGTGATAAGGGTGATAATAGTAATAAAAAGGATGACAATAATAATGATAAGGATGATAATGAAAAGGATGATAATAATAAAGATAATTATGATAAAGATGATGATGATGATAATAATAATAATAATAATAGTAGTAGTAGTAGTAATAATAATAATAATAGTAGTAGTAGTAATAATAATAATAGTCGTAGTAGTAGTAGTAATAATAATAATAGTCGTAGTAGTAGTAATAATAATAATAATAGTAGTAGTAGTAGTAGTAATAATAATAATAATAATAGTAGTAGGAGTAAAAATAATAATAATAATAATAGTAGTAGTAGAAGTAGTAGTAATAATAATAATAATAGTCGTAGTAGTAGTAGTAATAATAACAAAAATAATTCTAAGAATTTCTGTCATATATTTAAAAACAATATATCAAATTTAAGTAATTCTAATGATAATCAAGTTAATTCGTATATTCCTAAAAAATATATACCTAATGAAAAAACTCTGTCATCATTATTAAGAAGTGGAATATCACCAAATTTAACGAAATTTTTTTTAAATTTAATTATAACTAAAAATATAAATTACAAAAATTCAAATAACTTTATAAATAATAAACAAACAAATACTAATTCTTTTCAAAATCAAATAAATAAGGAGTATGAAGAAAAATCAAATAATTTTAATATACAAATTAGAATAAATGAAAAAGATAAAATTAATGATGAGCCAGATTCTTATACATATTTAAAAAATAAAAAAGTAATTGAAGAAATAGAAGAAGATATAGAAAAAGATGAAGGGGAAAAAAATATGAAACAAGATGAAAATTTAAAAAAAAATGAAAACATGGATAAAAATGAGAAAAAAGAACAAGTAAAAAAAGAAAATGAAATAGAAGAAATAGAAGAAATAGAAGAAATAGAAGAATTACAAGGAATTAATGAAAAGGAAGAAAATGAAATAGAAGAAATAGAAGAATTAGAAGAATTAGAAGTAATTAATGAAAAGGAAGAAAATGAAGGAATTAATGAAATGGAAGAGAGGGAAAATGATAAACACATTGTTAATGAACATAAAAAAATAAAAAATAAGGAAAATGAGAGAATAAAAAAAAAAGATAAGCATGAAAAGTATCAGAAAAAACAAGTAATAGAAATATGCAACAAAGTAAATGAAGAAAATGAAGTAAATGAAGTAAATGAAGTTAATAAATGGATAAATATTCAAAATTTTAGTATTGGAAAAAAATTTAAAATCATAGGAAAACTTAAAAGATATAATGAAAAAAAACATCTATATTTAAGTAAGATATTTAAAAAAATAAAAAAGAAAAAAATATATACATCTGTGTTAAGTGAAATTCTTAGGAAAATAAATGATAAAAAAAAAGAATCATTTAATAAAGTAAAAAATAACATATTTTTATTAAATC